AGCAGTTAATGGTTGCATCTTGCTTCGAACAGCTAGGAGCCGATCAGTAATAAACAAAAATTACTCCATTTCAAATATACCAGACGATTTCATGCACGATTCCAAAAATGTGCCAGCGAAAGCATGAGAGAGTGCCACATTGGATTAACCTCAACTCTGATTTGATTTATCAGCGAATATGCTCTTATTAAGAGCCATAGTCAGTATTTGAAACATAACCAACATTTGCCTCACAATGGCACTTAGGAAATGTGTTTTTTTATATGCGTACAATGCTTGACAATAATGGTAGGATCAGAAAGTTTTTAATAATAATGGGTGTTCGCTGTAGTGAACTGATGTATAAAGGAAACGCGAAGGTCTAGCGATTGTTGAGATAATGCATTTGCTGGTGTGCATTAGGCTCAAACATCTGTATTATACTGGCCAAGAAGATGACGATGAGGTCCTCTCAACGCAACTGAAATACCTATGTTAACAAAAACGCGGGATAATACTATTATATACAGAAGGTAACAACTCTGCCCACGACAAAATATTTAGAGCATTCAATAATATAATTATTCTGCCATGTCAGTTTAAACAGATCTATCTGAAAGAAGAATCCCATTTCCAGTATCTGCCAGTGAGTCATCGATATCAATTATTACGTGATGCGTGAAGGTTCAGTGTGATTTAAATGCCAAGCCTAGATCACGATGTTGATCATATAAATTATTTACTGTCATGGAGTAAGGAAGATTGACGGAAATATTAATTGAGTAACAGACGTGGGTATGACGTATTAAGGGACCTTGAATAGTGCCGCCTCTCGTATGGATTCGCAGAAGGTTATTGAGTACAACTGCAATGGAAAAGTTTGCTAATCCTCACCACCATTTGCTGGTTAACAAGAGATATTGACAACTGTAACAAATCCTCTGGCTAAAGAACATCGGATGCCAATTGACTGGCAAAGAGTGAATCAACATTTCACTTTTACAAGGCTGTAGCAGTTCATAAACATTCACGAGGAATAGACGTGCAGAATGAAGCTTATGCAACGCTGGTTGCAGAGTGCCACAAAGACTGAAACAGTACCTGACTCCTCTTCTCAATGGTATGAGTCAAATGATTAGATGAAAAATTCGGAAGCTCGCTCAATGGCTTTTATGAGCCGCGTTCAATGGTGTTACAATGAAAGAGTGCAGCGAAAACTTATGCGAGCAATTCTGAGGAAGAACGTAGAAAATGTAGTAGAGTGAAAACTCTTCATCAGCATATAGTTTTAAAAGAAATTAAATAAATCACTGCAAATGGACATTGAGCCATTCTGAAATGGAGAGCACCAGGCGAAGTTATTCTACATAAACGGTTTGTTCAGAAAACTCAAGGATGCGAATGATGGTAGTCTAGCAGGATGAAATTAGTTATGCCACAAATGCGGTATGAATATATAGAAATCGTCTCGAATTGGCCCTTAACACAAAAATCGTATGACATATCAATCAAACAAAGATCAGCTGTACCTAGATTCGAAAAATCTTACGTCACAAGAAATATTGATAGCGTTCAGAAAGCCGAATAATATGCGTTTTGAATAACGTTCGAAGAAACGCTGCTAGAGTTGATCAAAAATCAATTTTGCCACGCTGCGAAAGGATTTGGATTTAAAGGCAAAGGATTTTGATTTCCTGTGTCGTGAGGGCAAGCTATCAACCCTGAGACGGTTTCAAGTATTGTTAATCTGGGATTTATGCCTTCAAAAAAACTGTGCACAGGGGAAGTACTCCATCTGTTACTGTCAGATTAAAAGATTAATGTCGTCTTCAATATTAATCCCTAGTGAAAGCATAACATATCGTTTCATGGTACTGTTTTGGTTCCGCATGAAAAACACTAATTCATGGGCTGGAAAAAAATGTCAATCCACAAGGATTTTCGATTAAGGGATTTCCAAAAACAGAAACAGGGCTGTTACATTCTTTAAGCTATATAGATGACACAGGGTGGCTTACTAACGTTGCCAAAAATTGTAAATAATATTCTCATTTCCTAACCCAGATTAAACTTTCATTGACAAAATAGGAAATGATACTCTGGGGTCGACATGCATCGTTTCATGCAGACCACTGGACGCCGTAGGCGATCGTCTTGCGGTCACCGGATTAAATCTGTATAACCGGAC